TTTTTTTTTTTTTTCCCTAGATCTGTATCAAAAGAGCACCATTAATGTTACACTGACCAGAGATGATTTCTTTCAGGTAAAATTTCAATTATTTAACATGTGAAATAGGGCTGTCTAAGCCTTCTGTCTTGTAAGCTTTTATTTAGTAACTTGGTTCTGTTATAACAGAAGGAGAAACTTTGCTCTCTATGTTGATGATGCAGTTTTGCTATTGTTATGCTAGAAACGGGCTTAGGAATTAAGAAGTTAGTGTATCAGTTGGCTTGTACGTCACCCAGCTCAACCCCTCACGTTCTCCCTGGGAAGATGGAACCTTTCAGAGCTAAGAAGGAGATGAACCTCAAAGAAAAAGATTTGTCACCACATGGTGCAGCCATTCTTCTTGTCCAGGATAGTCTCTTTCCACAGTTGACTTGAGCTCTCCACTGTGTTTTCTTTAACATGGTACAACCTTAGACTACCTTATGGATGAGGGAATGTGGTGGGACATCTTCACAGGCAGCAAAGGCTGTGAAAGAGTGACTGGCAGAATGGCTAAAATTAACAAGTCAGGAAACAACAGATGTTGGCGAGGATGTGGAGACAGGGGAACCCTACCACACTGTTGGTGGGAATGCAAGCTGGTGCAACCACTCTGGAAAACAGCATGGAGGTTCCTCAAAAATTAAAAATAGAGCTACCCTAAAACCCAGCAATTGTACTACTAGGTATTTACCCAAAGGATACATAGTGTGATCTGAAGGGGCACGTGCACCCCAATTTTTATAGCAGCAATGTCCACAATAGCTAAACTTGGAAAGAGCCCAGACGACCATCGACAGATGAGATGTGGTACATATATACAATGGAATATTACCAAGCCATCAAAAAGAATGAAATCTTGCCATTTGCAATGATGTGGATGGAGCTAGAGGGTATTATTCTAAGCAAAATAAGTCAGTCCGAGAAAGACAAATACCATATGATTTCATTCATATGTGGAATTTAAGAAACAAAACAGAGGATCATAAGGGAAGTGAAAAAAAATAAGCCAAAAACAGAGAGGGAGGCAAACCATAAGAGCCTCTTAACTCTAGGGAACAAACTGAGGCTTGCTGGAGGGGAGGTGATGGGGTAACTGGGTGATGGACATTAAGGAGGGCACTTGAAGTAATGAGCACTGAGTGTTATGTGCAACTGATGAATCACTAACAATAATACAGTATATGTTAATTAAATTGAAGTAAAAAATTAAAAAAGTAGGAGAGCGCGAGCCATGGGGGACAAGTTAACAACTTTCTGGCCATTCAGGAATAGGAAAGAGAAGCATGAAAGAGATTCTGAGCTTCAGCATAATCACTAGACTCCTCCGTATCTAGAAGAATTAGAATTTCTACTAGCACAGAACTGTGTGTTTAAAAACACCCAGAAGGGTGATGTGGTCCCTCTATAGCGCATGGCCAGGCACAAGCAATTGAACACTGTTTGGAGAAATGGATTGGTGGAGCGAGCAGGCTTGGTAGTCTGACTCCCACCAGGAGTTCTCCATGCCTTCCTGTCAGATATGGGTCATTATGGAGTTTGCTACTCTCAAACTTCTCAGTAAAGCTTTGGGCAAGAACCCAGGAGTGTTGCATGTATTTGCAGGAGTGCTAGGAACAAATAGAGTACCTAATGAGATTTTATGACTCTAATTATCCAGGAGATGCAACAGGAGGGGATGGGCTGGAGAAGACTATCAAACAAGCCTCCAGCTATGGCCCTGACCCAGAGGTCTCACTGAGGGAAGGGCTGGGATGTGAGCAAGACAGATCCAAGCTTTGCCCTCAATGGTGAGTGTGCTGCCACAGCCGGGCCCGGGCTAGATTAACTCCTTTTCCTCCTTTGCCCTCCACCCTCTGGCCAGAGCAATAGGAATACCAGATTCTTGTGACTTGTGATAAAGAAAGCCCATACACCAGAGAACAGGATTGTCACCAGTCTCTGCAGTTCAAATATTCACTCACCCTGGCAGGGGTCATAAGCTTAATGAAAGTGACCAGTGTCATCTTGTTTCCTGACTTCAAATCCAGGATCCAGCCAAATCTATTACTCGTAGCTCAAATATACCTTATACTTTCTTACCTCTTATCATTTCTTCCATCACGTGGAAGGCCATACTCCATCTCCTCAACCCTCCAACTTCCTTTTTTTGAAATAGTTCTCATCCATTAGTGATTAACTCAAATATGCCACCTTTTGGATAAAAATTTCCCTGCCAAAATAGCATTTCTTCTGTCCGCAACAACAGTAGCACTCACATACTAGACCCATTATGGAGCATGTAGCTTGCTGATATTGAATATCATTTGTCCTCAAAATAACCACATAACCTCGACACTATCTTTAGACACACTTTACAAGTGAGGAAACCGGAGCACAGAGAGGTTAGGTCACTTTTCCACGGTCACTCAGCTAGGAAGTGGTTCTGATGATTTATTATAAATATGCTACATATTATTATGCTATGAGGAAAGGAAACTAGGTTCTTTAATAAGGGCTTAAAAAATAAGCTGATTAATATATTGGGATTGAAATCTTCTAGGTAATGGATACAGAATTCCTAATTTTCACATCTTTCCTATGTCCAAATTTGGTCAAAAGTATAAGGCTTGAACTTTAATTTCAGGAAGTGGGCATGGCGGAAGTGTGTTGGGGACTGTTCTTTCAGGATCAAATCCAATGACTGTGTCTCAGCCCTGCCCCTCTCACCTGATGCCCATTCCACTCATTCAGGGTCAAACTGGTCGGCACTATAAATAGTCTTTGCACATTACACAGAAGGCAGATCTACCCCACTTACTGTGGATTTACCTGAGCCCCTGGACTTGAATACCACAGCTGGGGATGTGCACATTCTTCTAGAGATAGGTTTCATGATGTCTGCCAGATTCCCCAAGGTGTCTATAAATTACAAATATTAAGAATGGCTGCCACTGTTTGAGAGGCATGGTAGAGGAGCTCCATGACTATGAGGGCAGAAGGAGCATTTCTGAAAAGATGAGAATCTGTGGTGGGATAGAATATTCTTTGCTGGATACAAATAAAATGATTTCTTTTAGGGAGGATGGGCTTCATGAGAGAGATTGTGCCTATACGTTGATGGCACCATTGTCCTTACAGTGTTAAAGCGGTTGGGACCTCGAGACACTTGCCTATTCCCAACCCCGCATCCCCAGCACTTGACAGTTTAGGAATCTAAGACTAAGATAAATAGAGTGACTCATCCAAAGCCACAAAGTTCAGGGCTGGGATCAACTAGAGTCCAGGGCTCATTCTCTTTCATGCTCCCTCCCCCTTACTTCACAGAGCATCCCATTAAAATGTTGGCTTACGAGCAAGGGGCCACACAAAAACCCTACATCCATGCATGGTAGCAATGCTGTGTCATCTGGCTCCAGTGAATTTTATACACTTTCTAACATTTTCTTCTAATACTTTCTCTTGTTTCCATTCTACCCCAAATACCTCTGATTGCCACCCTCAGGACACCAGGAGGTAGAAAATGGTGTAAGCAGGAGAATTTACACACTGTGTATCTCATTTGAACCTCAAAACAACTGTACAGATGCAAAAAAAAAAAAAAAAAGATAATCCTCATTATCCCCATATCAAGACCTTAATTTTAGGATGGTAGATATGGGGACGAAGGTCTTTGGGAGATCCAAAATGCAGGCAACATCCCTCTCCATTAATTGACCAGATGTATTTATGGTATATTCTGCAGAGCAATTACGGAGACAGATGAATATATTTCCATAACCATCTCTTCTGCCCAATGTATCTGAAAGCATGGAGAAGTTTTGCTCTTGACCGGGAGAAAACTGACGTGCAGAGAGCAGGTGATTTGTCCTTGCCCACATAAAAAGTAAGAATTTCTATTAAAGAGAACTATCACTCTATAGTGTAAAAATGTCTCTCCTAGTAAGGTGTTCATCTTAACAAAATGTTACCATCATGAAACAGCATATGTAATTCATAGATTTTTTATAGGAGTTTCTGTATGTGCAAAGTAGTATCTCTGATAGAATTTCCCCCCTTTTTAGAAAATAAAGAACTTTAAGAGCAATGGGAGGGTTTTAATGATTATAAATATAGACTAGGCTTCCTATTGTCTTCATCCAAGAATATGCTCCATTTCCTAGTTGCTTGCCCTCTAAAAAATTCCAGTTCTTAAGAAATCCAAGATACTTTAAGATCTAAAATAATGCTGAGTTTTCAGTCATTAGGAAATTACTTCTTCCCCTTATGAGAATTTTACTCTGGTAAACATCTCTTCTCAGAACTCTTCTTAAAGATCACTATTCTTAATTAAGCTGAACAAGGAAATTGATGGCAGGTTGCATGCATTTTGCCCTTGGGATACTTCACCATTTTGAAGGAACCCCAGGGCAAATCATGTGTGAAAAGATTAGAATTGAAGGAAAATTTACAAGTAATCAGTCTAATCTTCTACTCTGGGAAGGACTCTGATTTACAACACATCTGACGGAAAACCAAGCTGTATCTACTAGAATACGACCAATGCCAGGGAGCTCACTACCTCACAATGGTTTATACCTTTGTTCAGCAACTGTTATCATTTTATAGTTCTGATTTTGAATAAAAAATCTCCCTACTCTTAAGGTTGGCCCACATCTGACTTCTGAAGTGACACAAAGTCTCTTCCTTTATCACATGTCAATTCTGAAGACTTGATTCCTTGCTTCAAGCTTTTGTTCTTCATATAAAACACCCTTAGTTTCTTTCCTTGGTCTTTGTATGGCTGTGGTTGAGATCCATCAATATCATCCTTCCCGAAGAAAGTCATTCTCCCCTCAATCTATTATAATTTACTAATCTCCTTTTTAAAAGGGGCACCTCAACCTTTATGCATCTTTGATAACTTCCCCAAATTGTTGCTGCTGAGAAATGCCCTTGCTTTATAACTAGTCACTGTGTTTTTTTTTCAGTGACATTAGGTCTGTTCTCTGAGGACCTACCTTTGCCAAGGTCTCATCATCCAGGTGATTCTTCTGAATCACATGTTGAAGTGCAAAATAAATTTTTTCCTGAAGCTTCTGGACCTTCCTTGGTTCTATCAGCCAGGCTCGGTCTGACAAAGGAAAAGAATTAGGTAAGAAGAGTAGGAATGTAAGCTTTCACCTGCATATATAAGTGCTGAGTTTCAGACCCATTTCAATCACTTAGTTTTAGTTTGCTTCTGAAGACATATAGTTATTTACATAAAACACAAATATTTTATAAGAAATACCTGGATGACAGTAATGCTGGATATGCACTGACCCTAGGAAAGGAGGATGGAGGGAAGGGCTCAATGGTTCTAATAAACATAGCACGTTTCATATTATCTGTGACAATTTACATCTCTCTTTTTTTGGACATATACTTAGATTCTTTCAAAGTAGAAGTTAATGACTTGTGAAGAAAATGAATTACAGAAGAAAATCTATTGCACAGGAGTATTTTTGGTATTCAGGATCCCCCTTCCCATAAGCTAAGCTATAATGCAAAGCATAAACATGAATCAATTTCAAAAATTTAATCCTGTGTGCTCTTTTTGTACATGGAATTTTTAAGTGGTGGGTAGGACAATCCCTCCTTTCCTTTCTCTGGTCCTATAGTCTTTTTTCCTTCCTGTATCCCTCTCTTCACCACCCCCTTCCTTCCTTTCTTCCTAGAAGCTTTATACACTATGGTGATAAAATGCAGCCCAGCATCAATGCCTCAGTTTGGCGCTTCCATGAAGAGACATCTAGAGTCTCCAAATGCTGAACAAATACTCATGGAAAAGAACTTGGAAATGGTCCATCTGAACACAGTTCAGGTCAGGTGAGAAACTCAATTCTGTAATCCTAGACAGGGCAAGGACAAGTCTAGCCACCAGTTAAGCAAAACCCTTACGTAAGTGAGCACAAAAGCCTTCAGTGACAATGGTCAATCAGAATAAATTAGGTTTCCCTCCCTCTCCGTTCCCTAAACTATCTGGAGCTGAACAGACAGTGGCTTTTATGACAAGAACTGGGGGAGGGTGGGGTCTGTCATGAATAGAGCCAGCAGAGGCTGGACATCTGTCTTTCCTCTTTTTTTTTGAATATGGCACTAGGCCAGGGTGGCAAATGAGGTATTTGGAGCTGCAGAAGCCCCTGACTGTGGGTCTGCTACCAGGGCTGGAAGATTCTCTGCTAGGTAGACTAAGCCAAATGTCATGCTTCCAAACTCAGCACAATTTGATGGCTATAGTACGTTCTTTTCAGAAAAAGCCTCACAGTTCAGCTGATTTCTGATCCATAAACAACAGGCTTACCTTAAGTCTGGGGCAGTTATCTTCATGGATTGTTTAGGTTAGATATGCCATGTCTTAGGTATTTGCTTCTAGGAATTTACTGACTTAAACATAGACATACCTAACAAGGACAGTACACTTTGCAACACTTTCCTTGAGCAAGCAGGAACCAGAGTGGAACCGCTTCCCTCATCACAGAACCACAGGCTTAGAACGAGTCTTCTATTTAACTATTTTCCATGAAAACAGTCAAATGCAATGAGAAAATGGTGGGAGGAAAAGTATTTGGCATGTGGTTGCTATCAGAAATAACTATTTCTTGTCACTTCTCCCATTTATCTTTGTGCTTCCAGGCCTGGGAAATTTTGTAGGGTTCAAAACAAAACAAAAAACAAAAAAGGCCTAGAGGAACAACTTGATTGTAGACAGAGCCACAGAAGAAACTGTTAGTAATCGCATGCCAAGTGATAATTTCCATTTTTGATAACGTTGTTAAATAAAAAACAGAAGGAAATTCGAAAATCTTCATAAAATTTAAAAATAAAGTTACAATGAAGCCTCACAGATAAAGAGTGTAGAGGCTGAGGGGCCCCTGGGCGGCTCAGTTGGTTAAGCGTCCGACTCTTGATTTCAGCTCAGGTCATGACCTCAGAGTCTTGAGATCAAACCCCATGTCAGGGCCTGTGCCCAGCATGGAGCCTGCTTAAGATTTTCTCTCTCCCTCTGCTCCTCCCCTTACCCCCTGCTCACTCCCTCTCAAATAAAATAAAATAAAATTAAAATAAAAGTGTAGAGACTGGTATTATTGGTAGACACAGCTGCAATGACATGTCAATGTGTGCCATCACAGGTAAGATTAATTTCTTCCAGCCCCACTGAAAACTGTGTTAGGATATAAGAAGAGCTCTCTTCTCTAAGATGAATTTTATAGAAAGAATGAATCTCTTGGCCATAAAAATTATTAGGAATGTGTTCCAACAGACAACTGTAAATGACACTGGTAATCCCTTCACCCAAAATCTAACCAAGCAGACAGCTGAGTGACTCTTGAGTTCTCATTCTGGTTGAAGAAGGAGCCAAGTACTTATTAAGATTCCAGACATTTTCGAGCTGCCATATATTTTAAATAGCACTTCAATTGCTATGGTTCTATTTGATCTATAAACATCACACCTTACTTTCTTTGAAAATTTTGATATTTTATTACATTTCAGAGCTAGACATGATCTTTATTCTTCTAAGATTTATTTATTTTAGAGAGAGAGCGAGAGAGCACGGGGCAGGGAGGGGCAGAGGGAGAGAATCGTAAGCAGACTCTGAGCTGAGCGCAGAGCCTGACATGGGGCTCAGTCTCAGGACCTGGAGATCATGACCTGAACCGAAATCAAGAGTCGGATGCTTACACAACTGAGCCACCCAGGCTCCCCATGATCTTTAATGAAGTCCAAACCTATTACTTTATAGATGAGGAGACTAAAGCTCGGGGGAAGGGGGGGCGGGCGGCAAGCGTTTAAAGTCACAGAGATAAATGATGACAGATCCCCGGATGGGAATGTCGGCTGCTACATCAGAGATTCTTCCTTCGCAGTCTTTAGTTGGAGTCAGTTTTCCCTCTGCTGTCCTCACCTCCTTTCAAAGCCCCCAATATTGCTAATTTTGGTGGAAAAGCCAACAAAAGAGGTATTTAAAGAGGAGAGGGTATACATGTTATTTCCTTTTGTCCTCACACTGGATCTTTCATTTAAATCTATTTCTACTAAGTCTCACACCTTACTGGACATTTGTTTTTGATGTCCTTTATTCTTAAAATTGAAATAGGACTTTGCTATAACTCAGGCTGCCATCCATCCTCATTAATCTGTTAAGGAATACTTTTGCTTATCTGAATCTGGAGTGACCCTTACCACACACCCTTCTCTTCCTTGTGGGGCAAAATGGCTCATATTTCAATTAATTTAAGGCTACTTTCCTTTGAATTGTCCAAAAATATCACAAGCTTGCTAAAGAAAATTTAAATTTCTCCTTAGTACGTAGGCTTGGGTAGGTGTAATCCATGTTAAAGATAGAAAACATTTTTTTTTTTTTAAAGACAGGACCTCAGACCTCCTTACCTGGAGATATCAGAACAGCGGATGAGAATAAAGCAATCTCTTCTTCAGTCAGCTGCAAGGAACATAAATTCTTTGCAAAGTCAAATGCTTCATTCACCAGGTCATCAGAACCTATAAAAGAAGGCAAATTAAATGAGAATATTTGAATGGAATGGGGCAATAGTAAGAAAAGCCCCATAATCCAAAGGGCATTCAGGGATTTAAACACTAGGCAAAAATATTTCCGAGTTCCTAATAATTACAGAATGAGGAAATTGGGCAACAATCTCGATCAAGTACTGAAAGTTAACATTACCAATGAGGGGCCAATGGGAATGGTGTGTGCCCACCCTAATATTCAACTGGGAATATATATACTAAATCTAATCTTGTAAGTTTGAAATTAGTTTCAACTAAAAAAAAATTAAATAAGTGATCTGGGGATCCTTCAGTAGAGAGATAGCATTCAGAGAAAACTGAAAACATGGTGCATAAGGGGCTAAGGGCTATCAGTCTTAGTGGCCCTGGAACCTGGCAGCATAGAATGCCCAGAGGCCTCAAACTGAGATTTTCAAAGCTTCTTATAGAATGAAGAGGAGGTAGCTTTCAAGTTCGTAACTTCCCTGAAAATCTTACGGAGGGGCAGGCATTCATTTATTTTTACCTTCTCCTGGATGCCTTGTAGGTCAGTTGCTTAGCAATGGTGAATTTTGGCAAAAGAATGCTTCATCCCTACACACTGATCCTCGGTAAATGTTTATTTTATGAGGCTGGAAATATACCCAAGTTGCTTGCCAAGGCTTTTCCTCCTTTCTTGAAAATCGAGCCTTGTAGACGACATGGATGTGTATCAACTGCAGGAGGGAAACAGTACCAGCCGGACGGACTTGCTTGTTGGCCGCTGTATCAACTGACAGCACAAAAGGCGAAAGGGCACTGGCCTTCTGTGGTGTCCGGGGGCCAGGGATGGAGCAAATGGCACTGCCAGTCGTTAAACCTTTCCTGGCATTGGCCCATCTATGCTACCATTCTTATCTGCACCGTGTACTGATGCCTGGATGTGAATGATACCCAACGCTTCCAAAGACTGACTGTGTGTGTCCCCACCCACAGGAATGGTCTGGGGGTCCTTTGGGGGCAGGCTGGCACCCACTCTCCCTGTGCTCCCAGAACTTCATCAATTAACGGGAAGAAAGTCACCGCTGTGGGTGAGAAGCAAGTGAAGGAGCTCTTCTTTTCATTAAATATCTTAACTAATGATTATACATTTACAGAAGACCCTTGAGAGATCAGTCATGGATCATCCCTGGTCTATGAGGCAGTGAGCTAGAAGGGAAATGAAAGCTGATCTTACAAAGAATAATCTAGAATGTATCTCAGTTCTTTCAGAACCGGTCTTCATTGATTTCTGAATGAGGTGTGGTCAGTCTCAATGGGGTCTGTGGTTCTCCCCTGCCTTTCATACTAGGATGCACAACTGTAAGATCTGAAGGGTTAGATAAAACACTGGAGGCTCACCTAGTCCAGCCCTTACCAAATGAGATGCTAGTTCACATTCAAGAATCATAGCATTTCATTTACCAACTTCGATCTGAGTGGAGAAACTGATGGCAGCTAAGAAAATTGTGTCACCATCAAAGGTAAACTCACCTAAGGCCTTGAACATCTGCATTCCTCCATATTTTCCTTCAAACAGAACAGTGTTGTTTAATGGGTTGAAGGCACGGCACATTCTCACTAAAACCACTTCCAAGCAACCTATGAATAAAAAAATAAAATATGTATATACATGAGATAATAAAGAAGTTATTATGTAAAGGCCACGAGACTTCAAAAAAGAAAAAAAAAACAACCTTGAAAACACACACACACACACACAGACACACAGATGCACCCATTCAGAAATACCTCAAGATTCCTTCCTGAGTAAAAAATAAAGCTCTCTTCATGCTTGTGTGAGGAATTAAAGATAACATAGACTATAAAGGTGGCTAAAATGGAGGGCAGCAACTACATGTTTTTTGGGAAGCATACATATTTTTCTTTTTTTGACTAATATTAAAGGTATAGTTACAACTCATGAATTCACAAGGAGCTCAGAAGCAGGCAAGTCCAGCCTGTTCACTTTTGTAGAAGTTTTGCTGTCGGCCACATGTGCTCCCTGCCTCGGTTTCTACCACAGTCCTTGCATATTTCAGCACCGGATGACTTTACATAGGGACTCCTTCAGGGTGTTTCTGGAGGGCACCACTGACCTCTGATGTCTTTGAAATGAAGTTTTCTTGGTCAAATGAGTTTTGGCAAAATGCTGAATATGATCTCACTTCGGAGAGTTATAATCAACATTCACAGGTCAAAGGCTTGGGGAAGCCTCAACATGAAGGAACTTGTTCAACCTGGATGCTAGCATTTCTCTGACTTCCCTGTTAGCACAGAGAGGGCAGGACCTTTGTCCGCAAACATACATAGCTGTGGCTACTTTATTCACTATTATATCTCCAGGACCTAGAAAAGTTCCTGGCACCTAGTAGGTGCTTACTAAATATCTATTTTATTATTTTTAAAAAAGATTTATTTATTTATTTGAGAGAGAGGAAGAGAGTGCGTGAGTGGGGGGAGGGGCAGAGGGAGAGAGAATCTCAAGGAGACTCCCTGCTGAGTGTGGAGCCCTACACGCTGCTCCATCTTACGACCCATGAGACCGTGACCTGAGCTGAAACCAAGAGTCAGAGACTTACCTGACTGAGCCACCCAGGCACCCCGAAATATTTAGTGAATTAGTTTGCTGCCTTTGTTTTGCCCTTTGAACATTTATTGATGTTCTGAGGAACTACCATACAGGTGATTTGGCTACACCATGGTGTTTGCCAGGGTATCTGTGGTGCCTTTCTTATGTTGCCACTTAATATTTAGGTCTGTGTCTTATTTTCTTTGATCTGCTGATTTCTCTTTGCTTTCCCTCCTATGTCACCTAGCACAGGGGCTCCCATATAGAAGGGGATTTGTACATCTTAATTAAAACAGTGCTTTTCTGACAAAAACAATAACAGGTACCATTTATTGAGTATTTATAAGGTGGAAGGCACTTTCCTTGGCCCCTTACATTATTTTATTTGCTCCTCACAATACCATTTCGCATGAGTTTTATTTTTTTTATTTTATTTTTTTTAAAGATTTTATTTATTTATTTGAGAGAGAGAGAGAATGAGAGATAGAGAGCACGAGAAGGAAGAGGGTCAGAAGGAGAAGCAGACTCCCTGCCGAGCAGGAAGCCCGATGTGGGACTCGATCCCGGGACTCCAGGATCATGACCTGAGCCGAAGGCAGTCGCTTAACCAACTGAGCCACCCAGGCACCCTTCGCATGAGTTTTAATGGCCCCCCCCTTTTTTTACGGGTGAGTTACGGGAGGCTTAAGGAGGTTAAGTACCCTGCCCTTCATACTAGAGTCAACATTTTTACAGCAGGCAGAGATGTCAGAAGAGTATATGGCACAGTGGTTCTCCAGTGGCAATCTATGGACTGGTTGTATCTGAGACTTAGAAATACAGTGACCTGGGTTCCCTTCTAGAAGATTCCGATCCATGGGCTTCGGATGATGCCTACGATTCAGAACAGTCAGTAAGCTCCTCCGATGCTGCCAATGCAATTGTAAGTTTGGAATCCATCATTTCTACTCCTTCACTTTATTTTGCAAATGAGGGAACTGCCATCTAGAGAGGTGAGCTCAAGGTCACATATCAAATATGGCAGATTTTTTTTTTCCCAGAGAGAGTCACAAAAGTATCTTCCATCCCACATGCTTTTCAAGAGCCTTACCACTCCCTCATCAAGGAGGATCCAGGGACGCCTGGGTGGCTCAGTTGGTTAAGCGACTGCCTTCGGCTCAGGTCATGATCCTGGAGTCCCGGGATCAAGTCCCACATCGGGCTCCCTGCTCAGCAGGGAGTCTGCTTCTCCCTCTGACCCTCTTCCCTCTCGTGCTCTCTATCTCTCATTCTCTCTCTCTCAAATAAATAAATAAAATCTTTGAAAAAAAAAAAAAGGAGGATCCACATCTCCTACCCTAGAGTCCAGGTGGGCCGTCATGCTGCCTTGACTAATAGGGAGGCATAGAAATAACACAGCTAAGCCAGGAAAATGCTCTGCACTCTGGCCTTGTTCTCTTGGAGTGCTAGCTTTTGAAACCTAGCAAGCATGCTATGAGAGGCTGTGGAGAGGCTGACATGCATGGATAGGAGCTGGGCTGCTGCCCAGACCCTTGGCTGAACTCGGGACTCAACCAGCACACACTGCCAGCCATGTGAGGGGATCCTGCTGTCCTCAGTCAAGTCACCTCAGTGATCCCCACATGGAGCAAAAGACAAGCCGTCCCTTGCTGAGCCCCACTCACAGTGTAGTTTTGGGAGCAAAGTCCGTGATGACTGTCATTAGAACTAGGCTTCGGGGTCATTTGTACCCAGCAATAGATAACTGATAGACCAAGTTCATGTTCAAGTCAAGGTTTGTTTCATCTTTAATCATGTAGTAAAGCAGCGCAGCAACTTCTAACTATTCTACCTGGCCCAAGTTCAAATGGCAGCTTTGCCACATACTGGCTTTGTGATACTGAATGCAGCCCTTCACTTCTCTGAATCTTCCAGTCCTCCCATAAGATGGAAATAATACCAATGTCCCCAGACTCCATGAGATGGCGTGAGTAAACATGAACATATATAAAGTATGTTATGACACACACAAGTCTATATACCATGGCCCAGGTCCATGAAGGTTAACAAACACCATGATGGTTCTTATTTTCTATTTTCAAAGGCGGGCAGGGGTCAAGAAAGAAAATTTGTTTCCTGTTTGGGTAATAGCATCTGCAAAGTCATTCACGCACAGACTTTCCTAAGTGATTGTGTGTGAGTCAGAGAGCATGTGTGAGAGAAGGGGAGGGGAAGATTAGCGCTCAGGGAGTTTCTCCGGGTATATACTGGCTGCAGGCTATCCTCATTAAAATGATGGGAAATGACCACAGAGGCAGCGTGCTGCTAGCCTGGATTCCGTGCCCCCCCCCCCCCACAGAAGGCAAGTAGCGCGTTTTAGAGCCAGCTCAGCATTTCAGCCACCTTGACACACTAATTACTTGCACTGCCTGTCAGGCTAGGTATCTGAACCTCCGCAATTAATAGCTCTACTTTCAATAAGCAAAATTGTATTTGACTTCAAAGGGGAACTGAATGAGTATCAGGGCATTTTTATTACCGAGAGTTTCCTCTGGGAGTTGGCTGACAGTGTGGGTGGTAAAAATGAACTACATATTGGAAGGACGATTTTCCAGAACGAACACTGAGTGAAGGGTTGACCACATCCTGGTCTCCAACAGGTCCCCCATGAATCCTCTGCTTGCTTACCTGACTTCAGAAGGAGAATTTGATCATTCTGACAGAGCTCCATGAAGCCCGTTATCCGCTTGGCGAACTCTACCACGTACTGGATAGCGTGCGTGATCTGGATGGCACATTGCTGCCACAGCGCTTCCCTGGACTTCAGGAGAGAAGACACAGAATGTACATGGAGCAAAGAACAACGTGCAGAGTCCATGAAATAGGGTTTCCCTACTGGTGCTTACCCAAGGCCGGAATGTACCCAGTTCCTTTAAAAGAGGTGGACAATACTTCCTAACATGCTCTTCAGACCTGTTCGAACCTTGATACACCACAATTGTCAATGTACTGAGACTAAAACAAGGGAAGCATTGAAATAATATGTAAAGATAGAAGTTTATAGTTTCTTTGCTCTTTCCCTTCCTCTTCCCCTAAACAAACTCAAGCTTTTAGTCCATTTTTGGGAAAACAAACTCTCGCACTGAGGAGCAGTAATTTCGTTCCCAGGCTTTGATCCGGTCATGTTCATGGGCACCTAAATGAACACTAAACTTGTAAGATTTTTACATTGTGTTCTTTTTCCAGAACTTATGGAGAGTGCTGTTTGGTATAAAAAGAATTGCACGGGGAAAGACCTCAAATCAAATCACTCTCTTAAGTAATTTAGAACCTCTGAAAGGTATTTTGATCCTTGCATTATTTTCCTTGGAACAGGAAATGTAAATCCAAGTGTATGGATTCTGCTTTTTATTGGTCCTAACAATACCTGTGCTTTTGTCTCCTTATTTATATAAGAGGGGTAAGATTTAATTGTTCCAGGGGAGAAAAATCAATGTTATAATCATACATTTATTCATTTACGTATTTTTTTTAGATTTTATTTTTAAGTAATCTCTACACCCAATGTGGGCCTCAAACTCACGATCCCGAGATCAAGATCCCAATCCCGAGATCAAGCATGCTCTACTGAATGACCAAGCCAGGAGACCTGGATATGTTAAGATATAGACACATTTATGTATTTTATTTAAAATTTCATTTACTGGTAGATCTTGTAATTGTGGATCTCAATCCCAAAGGATAGTAATGTGACTATATAACAATAGCAAATTCCTTCTCTTAAAAACTTCTCAAATGGATACAAAGTAATAATAATAATAATAATAAATAATAATAATATGAGGTGAGTTATCCTGTTTTTCTTTGGCGTTTAGGGCAAGAAAAAACATTTAGGATGCGTTATTGCATATCTTTGTAGTGTAAATTTGCAACTATTATTATTGCTACAATTTCTCAATTGTTTCTCTTCCTTGCCTGGCCCCTGGAAGCCATCATGAGAGGTCCTAAAGTCATCTGATGTGGGCACAGTCTCCCTGGTCCCTCAAATAGGGCAGTGTTTTTTAACTGGGGCAGTTTTGCCTCCCAGGGAACATTTGGCAATATCTGGAGACATCTGATCGTCACAACTGTGTGACGGGATTGCTAGTGGCATCTGGTGGGTAGAGACCAGGGATGATGTGCGGGACAGTCCCTACACAAAGAATTATCCAACCCCAATGTCAGTAATGCTGAGGTTTGAGAAAGCCAGAAATAGAGAAATCCCAGGAAAAACGGTCTCCTATTTTCTCAGAGTACCTTGCTTTGATACGCTTTAATTTCTTCATAGGTGTGGGTCTGCCACGCCAGCTGGTGTAGCTCCTCCATGGTGTACTGACATGTCTCCAGATGGGACTTAATGATGTTCTGTGCAATTCGATCTGTGAGAAGGAATATCAGTTTGAGGGTTTATGAATAAATTCCCGCTCTGCGAAGAAACTGGCTGTTAATGTTTACTACAGGAATCCCTTTGGAGACACTCCAATTGTATTAGTGTCTAACACTACTATCCACCTATGTATCTCCTAACTATTGTCTTTTTTTCAATTTTCAGGTTTTTTTTTTTTTTTTAAAGATTTTATTTATTTGAGACACAGAGAGAGAGAGAGAGCATGCTCACAGTGGGGGGAAGGGCAGAGGGAGCAGCAGACTCCCCATTGAGCAGGGAGCCAGATGTGGGACTTGATCCCAGGACCCTGAGATCATGACCTGAGCTTAAGGCAGATGCTTAACTGACTGAGCCACCCAGGCGCCCCTCAATTTCCAGTCTTTTAATCAAAATTTGCTGCCTTTTTCTCCCCCTTTTGGTCACAAACCTGGGGCTTTACAAGTCGTAAAATGTACAAATAGTTATTTTTAAAATAAATACAAATGACTATATTTCCTGCTTCTTGGCCTAGAAGACCACTAACACTCTTGACATTTGTACTCCAAAGACTTTAAAATATTTTGAAAATCACTAGACTCCCATTGTTTATGTTAGAATGGGGGAATTTTTTTTTTTTTTTTAGATTTTTTATTTATTTATTTGACAGAGAGAGACAGAGCAGGAACACAAGCAGGCGGAGTGGGAGAGGGAGAAGCAGGCTTCCCGCTGAGCAGGGAGCCCGATGCGGGGCTCGATTCCAGGACCCTGGGATCATGACCTGAGCCGAAGGCAGAGACACCCAACGACTGAGCCACCCAGGCGCCCTAGAATGGGGGAATTTAAATATAACTCTATTGGCTTATATTTTTAAAGAGAGGATAAAACAATAATCTAAAAAGGTAAGTTCTCTACAGAGGAAAGAGAAGAGAGTAGAAGGACAGGGTAGAAGCTAGGTGCTCTGATATTATTTTTGTAGATTTGACTTTGGAACCATATAAATATCTTACATGATAAATAATGGGAGAGGGAATATAAATGAGACAGTATTGACTCATGAGGTGATAATTATTGAAGTTGGGTCACAGTGATCATTACATTCTCCTTTCTAATTTTTTATAAGATGAAATTTCTCTTTAAAAAGGTTAAAATGAGAAAATGATTACATTCATAAAGAAGTAGGAACAAAATCAGTCTTTTGGGGCCATTCATCTCAAATGAATTGTATTGGATATTGTATCTTAAATACTGAACATTCTGGGTTTGGAGGTATGGAAGTTGAGCAATAGAACCAGACATAACAGATCTCCTTAAAAACCTGCAACGAGTCCCCTAAAGTTAGAGTAGGTAGGAGGTTCCCTCAAAATCCCCTCAGCCATTTGAACATATGAATAGTGTGAGATCTTGGGAACCAAAGTACACAGGGATTCTGTATGGGTAGGATGAGTAGAAGGAAGATGACCAAATCTTTTTTCTGCCTAATAACTGTTCTTGGCTCATACAGAAATAGAATTTTTCTAGTGTTTCAGGTTATGCAATTTCAAATGCAATTTCTGTTCTAAATAGCCATATTTCATTCCTACAGGATAACACCCAGTGTGGTGCCGAGGTACCTTCTTTTTACCTCGCTAAACTTCTGGTATATGTGGCGTGAAATATATATATATATATTTTTAAGATTTTATTTATTTGACAGAGAGAGAGAGAGAGTGAGAGCAGGAACACACGCGGGGGAGTGGGAGAGGGAGAAGCAGGCCTCCCGCCGAGCAGGGAGCTCAATGTGGGGCTTGATCCCAGGACCCTGGGATCATGACCTGAGCTGAAGGCAGACACTTAAGGACTGAGCCACCCAGGCGTCCCTGTGGCGTGAAATATATTGAGGTTTGGTGCTGTAGAGAATAAAAACATGTAAGCTTGTGCCTCCAATGAGCTTGCCAAATAAAAAGTCTTGTATAGCTCATTGCCTGGTACATTATAAACACTGAAGAAATGCTAGCCACAGTGATCACTTTATAGAATTTGTCATCAGGGAAGTAATGTGATGTCTCCAACGGACACAAAACAGGGATATTTAATTTTGCAACCAGTGCTACTGAAGGAAGATATTTCAATATTTATTAGAGTTTTTCAATCAGGACCATTAAGTGCTAGATGTAGAAGATGCTACAAAATGCTAAATTATGATTATAGTTACGCTCTATTGGATTCAGCATTGAGCTGAATTTCTAGACTCTCATTGCTTATCAAATTCTAAAATCTTTTCTTTAAAAAATCCTATATTCAAAATTTTATTGAATATCCTCCTATGTTGTAAAAAAAAGGGCAGGAATTACTTTATACATCATATTAAAATAGATTGGTATGTCATGGTTCATCATTTTTCAATTTCACTTGGGCAGTCTAATTACTTAGAATCTAAAAAAAACGTATCTCTTCCTCAGTAAGTATATAATGAAAACATAAGATTTCTATGGCTTCCTAGTTTTCAAACCTTTATCTTCTTGGTATAGTCTGTTTTCATCTTCAAAGATATGCTGATTTGTCAGTAAGTTACAGGCTTTGGGGTTTACAAGCAAAACTAGAAGTGCCACTCAAAACTGCATTATGAAAAACGCTTCATCTGTCCCTTTAGGCCATCTCCTGGGAACTCCTGGCCAAGGTTTAAAAAATCTCTAGCCTTCTGCCACCAAAGCTTGGGGTCCTATAGGGCATAAGGAGAGGTGGGCATAATAAATACACAGAGAGATGAAGCAAAATTGGAAGTAAAATCCACACACATGCTTTAGGACTCAGCTCAGAGGTCCACTCCCTGCGGAGTTTTCCCTGCTTCTCTGTGACCGCAGGTAGAGGGGTGGGCCACTGTTACACTCCAGTCTATGTCTGACTGAGCCCTTATTCCGCTCAGACTTGCATTGTGCTTATTTGTGGGGATCCGTTTGTTCCATACCCTTCAAGGTTGTGTGTGTGCTTTTCAAGAACTGGACTGCAGAGCCGGCATAGTGCCCTCGTATACTCATTCAACAAAAGCTATTATATGCCAGGTTAAGGTAGAGATTTTTTTTGAAAAGGACATTGTCTTTTTTTAAAGGGTCTTACAGTCTCATATATCATATCAGATACCGTATCATGACATACTAAATGCCCTTGAGTTATTGTGGGAGCCCCAAAGAAGAATGTATCTAACTCAGTCTGGGGGAGGCAGAAAAATGACCATAGAGAAGAAGCCTGTTGGTCTGGGTCTGAGCAGGGGTTTGTCACGTGGAGAAGAGAAAGGCACACCTCAGGTAGAGGGAGTGATCTCACAAAGGCACACACAGACAGCTGCTAGGAGCTAGGTAATTTCTGCTCTTTATAAGCCCTACATTTTACAACCAATTTCCCTTTTACTGAGGGAAAGAGTGACTCTAGAGCCATTTTTATAGAGCCAGCAAATGGTGATTTGAAATCAGGTCTGTCCTTTCTGGCAAGAACTCTGTCGTGCTGGCAGCAGAGAGTGCGTGGAGAAATGGAAGAAAGGAGACTGGGGATGGAAACTGGCACCAGAGACCCAGCAGCTGAGTGAGCCAGGCCGGGGAGTATGGAATTTTTATCGTTAGGCAGCTGGGAGCTAGTGGAAGCTGTGGAGCTGGAATGACCCAGTCGGGTTTGTGTTTTTCAAAGGTGACCTTAGCCAGGGCAAAGAAGATGAAGGGGCATGAGGGAGTATGTGAGATTAATCAGGCTGTAGTGCGACGAAGTCAAGCAAGATATGAGGCGGCTCTGGATTCAAGACAGTTCTGAAGTGGGATGGCCAGGACCAGCATGTGTGGCAGTGAGAGACAGAGACAAAGAGAGACAGAGAGCATTAAATATGGAAGGTGCTCAACCAATGTTGAGTTAGTAAAGGTAATACTGAAAATGTCCGTCCGTCCGTCCGTCCATCCATCCACCCACCCACCTATTCTATTTTCTGCTGTATTTCACAAAGGATTTTAGAAAGCTTATACTGTCCTGTGTTACATGATCTTAAAGCCTAAGCACTCGCCAATGGCTTTGAGGTCAAGCATGGAACACACACTATTATTTCCCACACCCTTGTGGCGAGAAATAAAAGGTAAACCTCTGTTTGACATAAGAGTTATGAATATCAGCGAGGGCGAAGCAGCTGCAGAGCGGCCCTTCTCCACATTCTCCCGCGAGTCTGCCATGCAAAGGCGAGCCACGGGTCAATAAACCACAGGGTAAAGCTAGACTCGGGCCCCTGGGGGCAGTGCTTGAGGGCTCATTCTGTCCATTAGAAAGATGCACGGCCATCAGAGGAGATGGTCAGCCTGCACTGAGAGTCTGCGGTTGTGAAAAGGGAAGAAGGATTTAAGAAGAAGGGACAAAGGGAGCAACAAAGAATGCAGTATGCAAAGTTCCTGCTAGGAGCCAAAGGAACTTTCAAGAGTCCTTGCCTGGAAAAATAGAAAAGGTAATAGTACACTTAGTCCTCTCCAGGGACCGACGGCATGAGAAGTCCAGACAAAGAGACTGAGGTAAAAGAGCAGAGGATATGGAATCTTTCTGGGCAATCGCACACCCTTCATCCGTTTCCCGGACTTGGATTGCGCTTGCTGGTCAGAGCCTAGTTTTCATCGGATTCTTTAGCCAGCTTCGGGTGCGGATGGCACCTGTCCAAGCAGGAGCCCACCGCACTGTGCTGGGACGAGGGCTTCGACAGGACTATGGCCCAGATGGCTGACAAAGGGGAAGGTCTCCTGCCTTCAGGGGCAATGTCCATGAACCCTGCCCTGTTCTTCCTGAGAGCAGGGATGAGGCTAGAAGTTTCTTAAGTGGCTATAAAGACGTAACTCCATTGTCTCAGGAGTTAAGACTAGGTATATGTCCAGTGAGACAGAGGTTTGTCCAATTCGCTAAGAGTACAGGAGCTGCTTTGATAGCTAATAAAATGATGTCAAGGAACGAGAAAAACAATCTTATATGCTCCGTCTAGTCGTTTCTTTTCAATCACGATGAGGTAAAATGCAAACACTG